AGGGCTTCTCAGAGCATCCAAAAGGTTCATGAGGCTTATGGCTCTCAAAGAGACCGTATGTAGCCCTGAACACTGTTTTCTTAGAGACTTCCAGGAAAGTCTGGTAAACACCAGTACACGTGGCTTACTAGCAGAAGTTGAGTTAATAAGGAACAGAATAACTGAGACCAAGATGGAGAAATCCGTGACCAGTACAGTACAGGCTCCCATTCCACAGGACCGAGGTATTGAACTGAGAAAATCAGCGAACCAGTTTCAGGACCAGTCATGGAGCAAGAAAAACCTGAGACTACTTGGCACATGTCCGAGTTGGGAATGAGAGACTCTACGCTACTCACACACCCCGTCCCCAACAGTTGTACGGCCCCCAGTATCTGAACGTGTGTACCCCCTCCACCGGGTGGTCCCTGGGAAAGCCTACATAGAAGCGTTGCCTCAGATATCGGACCTTTCTCAAGGGTGTGAGCTGGCCTTGCTAATTGTCATGCTTTTTTACACATCCAGCCTGACCTTTTGCAGACAGCTGCTCTCTCCCCTTTAGAAGCAACGTATAACCTGTTAGCCAAATTGCTGCATCTGTTTCTGAAAAGACTCTGGGAGTTTGAACTGGAATCTGTGGGATCACTTTATAGAACAGAATCTTACCAGAGGCCCCTCCGGCCTCTGAGGCGTGTTCCTGCTACAGAGGGATGGAAGTCATGGGCGACGGAGGCTCGAAGAACATCTGAGTCCATCAGCAAAGGAGCTACTGGGTCATCTTCGCAGCCTTTGAAAATTGGCTGAAATGACTGAGAGATGGCAGCTCTGTAATTTGGCATCTAGAAAGATGTGGTTGATCTCCCAGACCACTTGACTTCAGCCAAAGATCAATTTAAATCGTGGCATACTGAGGAAATAGAAAGTTTCAGTCCAAGGCGTAATCCCACATCGCGCCAGCCATAATATGCTCCTGAAAGAGGTTGTCCATGCCTGAACTTCTTGTGAAACCTGCAGACACAGTGCAGAAAAGCAGGAACCAGCTCCAGAAAGATGTCGTCTTCCTATCTTCTCCCTTTTCTCACTGGGTGGGGTGTATTTCTATTGGGGTCATTTGTGTCCAATTAAATGATCATTTCTGGAACATTAGGAATAACTTGCTGAATTAAGTTGTAACATAGTAAAACAAGCTCTTTAATGCCTTTCCTAAATTATTTAATGTTTAAAATGTGGCTTTTGATGTTTGCTGTGAGTTGTTTCTCGTAAAATGGAGAAAGTTGCATTTAAATGTCAAATAGTGCAGTTGGCCTCATTGTAATCTATGGTTTATAATTCATTAATACCATTTACTCTGATCTTCAAATTGTTCCAGACTGGACCAGTGGGGGTGGGGGGGACATGTATGTAGAGTGTGAGAGATAGGTAAGCCAGGGGACTCAACTAGGGTGAATTTTGCCCCCTGTGGGACATTTGACAGTGGCTGATATTTTTGGTCTTATATCTTATGGTTGAAGGAGGAATGTAAGAGCATTTTAGTGGCAATCTGATGGGTTGAGACCAGGGATGCTGCTAGTACATTCTAGAATGTACTAGCCAGAATTATTCAGGCCAAAATGTTCATAGAGCTGAGATTGAGACACCTTGCTGTGTGTGTGTTGGGGGAGCAGCAGCTAGATGGGGAAATAATAAAATGAAAATGACATGGGAGAAAGGCATCAGGGAATTTTTGTACTACGTTTGAAACTGTTGTACTACTTTTGCAAATCTAAGCATGAAATTCAAAAGTTAAAAGTGTTTTTCAGTAGGTTTGGTTTGCAGTTTTGAGCTTCATAGCCTGATGTGTAGCCTAGAGGCAGAAAAGAACTTGGCTCTTGCTGGGAATGTAAATTCTGCCCAGCGTTTGCCCGTGGCGTCTGGAGTCTGTCTCCAGGGGCAGGAAAGGAAGGTAACAGAGATCCCGAGTACCCACATGACCCTTGACTGTGTGGGCCAAGGCCACATTTAGGCACAGGACCGATGTTGTTCAACACCCAGAGTTGGACGCCATGATGAAAAGCCCTACCCCTCCTTAGTTGCATTGTGTCTCCAGGCTGCATTCTGTTCCACGTACCTCTCCCTCAGGGTTACTCTATGGCCTTCTTGAGTTTATATTCATTTCCCCCCACAGTGTCATGAGCCCTGGTGGAGACCAGTCCTGCCTTCTGCTATGTGTATGTGTGTGATAGGGTGATTCAGAAGGGTTCAGGCTCTGAGACATACTACCTCTTCTGCCCCTTCCAAGCAGCATGACACTGGTCATATTGTGGGACTTCTTTGTGCCTCAGTTTTATCAACTGTTAATTGGGGATTAAGAGCATCACCTAGTAGAGTTTGAATTAATACATGTACATTGGTACTTAAAAGAAAGGCAGTGTTAAGACCTAGTCTCCAGAGTCATCAGTTGATTCACTAAGACCAAGAGCCACAAGCTGCTTGGCCTAAGCCAACAAACTGGGGGGAACCAGGGTAGAACCTGGGCTTGCCTGGTTGGTGACATCCCATCTATGCCTCTGTATACTTTCCTTGCCCTCCAGCAGAGGGCGCCTCTACTGAGTTCCTCTGACAAAGGCTGTTGGATTTGAAGACCACAGGGGTGCAGAAGGAAGGACCTGTAGTTCCTTCTGTTTCTGTACCTGGTATCTGATCCCTGCTCCTGGGCTGGACACTGGGAGGTGTCACTTTGGCCTCCCTGACCAGCTTCAGCCAGGCACGTTTGCCTAATATTTGCTGCTATATGTTCAGAACATGAAAGGGTGCTGGGTTTTACCATTTGCATAAAACTGGCTGCTCAACCCTACCAGATGCTGCAAAATGAGACCCAGCATGTTTATGTGATGTCTTAGTCTATTATACTTCAGTGCCTTTTTCTAAAATCCACAATTACTATAATATGAAACGTGTTGTTTGTTTTGAAATGGGCAGGGCAGCACGAATTATTGATTCCACCTCAGTATAGCCACGTACCTGAAAACAATTCAGATCATACTTCTGTTGTTTTGGCTACTTCAAGTCTCCTTGGGTAGAAAACAGGAATTTTTTTTATATTAATGACAATATTTATTATCAAATACAGTTCTAGGACTTCCCCCCAACCCTCATGAGGGTGTCTGATTCTTATTAAGGATTAAAGTAAATAAAAAGTTCGATTTTTTTTGTTTTGTTTTATGACTCCTTGAGGACCATAACTTTCCAAAGAAGGACTAGCTCAGTAGAGACACTGTCTGGGAAATAACACACACTTGATTCCTGCCGTGATGTGTAGATTACAGATTAACTAAAACCTTTTTTAAAATTCTAATACATTCACCATTTTTGTAGATTAACTAATATTTGTAATTACAGATTACAAATAGAAAAATTAGAAGAGATAAGCACATATAGGAGAAAATAAAGGTCATCCATAACCCCACTTTCTACTCAAAACCACTATTAACAGTTTTAGTGTACATTCTTCCCATCAGAGAGAGAGAGCAGTAGGTCTGTGGACTGATACAGGGAGCGCGATGTAGATTATATACATGTACACACGGAGATATTTTTCCTTTAATAATTAGGGCCCTAGACCCTCCCTGGTGGCGCAGCAGGTTAAAGCGCAGCACTAAGAAGCTGAAGCCACTCCCACATGAGTCTGACCCCTGCTGTGGAGGCGACCCACATGGCGAGGCAGACCTCTCCTGACCCGCCCGCTGCTCCCCTCAGCAGTGTGCTTCGTCAATCTGCCTGTTCTGCTCCCCACTCTGTCCTGGTGAATCCTCTCACCCTCTGCTCTCTGGCCAGAGATGTATGAATAAATAAATAAATCTTAAAAAAAAAAAGAATTAGGGCCCTACTGTATAATTTAGCAGATTCTATGTGTATGTGTTTTGTTATGTCTACATGAGAAATTTTCTCCTATCATCTGGGGAGTAACTCTCTCTTGTTTTGGCAGGACAGTGATATTGAAGCTCTGGTCAAGTGTTTGGAGAATGTCCTGGGTTACACGTCTATGGGTGAGTCAAGAACTGTGATACCCTCTGATTCTAATGGAATAGCCAATAAGGAGAGAGCTTGGGAGAAAACTTGTGGATATTTTAGTCCACATCCCCCATATTATGAATGAAAAACTGAGGCCAGCAGAGGTTAAACGTGTGGTCCAAGAACAGGGAGACCTCAAGAGGAATTGCTTGTGATTGTTGTCTCCGAGGATGAAACTGTCAAAACCAAGTTCCCCGATGATCAGATGGTGGCCTGGCCATGCATAATCACTGGTCAAAGATTCCTTGAAAAGGGATTTCCCAGCCTCCCTCACCCTGTGAAACACATTATATTCAGTTGGGAAAACCATTATTACTCTGAAAGTCACTCCGTTATTGGAAGAGATTTGGTATAAAGAACAAAGCTAAAGCTGCTTTGGCATTGTCAGTGTGGACAAATAAGATCACTGTACTCCAGGGATACAACCCTATTCTTTAGTTTCTTTTCCTTTTTTAATCCAGCAAGCCCGACTGTGATAACTTCTAGCAGTGGACGATAAATTGTCACACCTGACAAGGAGAAAATAGCAGAGACTATTTTTTAAAGGTGCTGAATGGAATGGGCTGAGATATTTTGTCCTTGGAAATTTGATTGTGAGTTTTTACTTGACATTTCTAAATTGCATGGCCCATAGCAATCTCTTCAGGAAATGGCCAAAGAAGATTTCCATTTTCATGTGTGGACGTATTCACCACTGCTCCATCGGGAGTGTTGTGTGCAAAGTCTCTGTTGGGACACAGCTCCCTGATTTTTTTTCTCTTGACCCCTCACCTTGTGGGCTGCTCAGTCGCACCAGGAATGCTTGTTAGGTCCATTTAATTCCCATGTTTGGACTCCGAGACCAGTAAGGCTTTCGTTTGGCCAGGTCACTGCCCTCTCTTATATCAGAAATCTCAAACAGGGTCTTTTGAGGACTCCAGGAGCCCGTAAGGGGTGTGGCCGGAATTAAGAAAGAAGCCAGCCAACTCCATTCAGCCTGTTTCTGGAGAGTTCAGTGGTACCAGGTGCTAAAGAGGCCCTTTCTTAGCAGGAATCTTTAAATATATTTAAGAGAAAAGGGATGTAGAGTGGGGCCCTCCCTGGTGGCACAGTGGGTTAAAGCATGGCAGTGTGAAGCTATTGTAGCCACTGCAGCATGAGTTTGATCCCCGGCTGGGGAAGTGACCCACATGGCGCAGCAGACCTCTCCTGTCTCACCCACTGCTCCTCTCAGCAGTATATGTCAGTCTCTCTGCCTGTTCTGCTCCCCCCTCTGTCTCTGGTGAATCCTCTCACTCCCAACCCCCCCCCCCACTGATCCTCTGGCCTGTTCCCCAATTCTGTATGCATAAATAAATAAATCTTTTCTTTAAAAAAAGGGATATAGACCCTGCTCCTCTACCAGCTTCCACCAAAGTCATTTTGCTTGTATCTGTGGCATGAATTAGACTTCTACCAAAGATCATGTTTTACTATTCCATTGCATAAAATAACTCTAGATTGGATAGATGACATCTAAATTCCCTCCTAGACAATGAGTTTATGAGAAATGAGCTTTAGAAACAGGGAATAAAAGTATATTTATTTCTGCCCAGAGCACCACTGAAATGACAGAAAAGGAATTAGCTGATATAAACCTACAAGGGAAAAAAAAAACAAAAAACGGGAGGAGGTGGGAGCAGGTGAAGGCTGGTAGTGAATTGGAGGAGTCATCCGCAGAACCCTATCGAGCTTGGTAAACTATATTTTTAAAAACTTGCTTGTAGATCCAAACCGGGTGTTGCCACAGAAGTAATTGGACTATAGCAGATTCTTTGAAACCTCTGTGCTGGTCAAGGTTCCTATAGTGTGTTGCTATGTCTGACCAGTTGGCCTTGTTTAAATTGCTAACCCTCAGTTCTTCCATGGAACCTTGGTAATAACTATTTAATCTCTTCTAAACAATGTGACTGATACAGACCCGAAATGACAGCAGCTTCTGAATCCCTTAGAAACTTTCTTTGCTTAAGCTCTTCAAACCCTAAGCGGTTAAGTGTGGAGATGAGTGACAGCCACTTAACCTTGCTCTGTTATGCTTTTCACCTTAACAGAAAGGGATTTCTCATGATAATTAGAATAATTTCAACACAGTGTTTTCTGTTTGGATACTGACAGTTTGGTGGAGGGAGGGGGATTTGGACCATAAATCACTCAGATCATTTTGATGTACATGCAGGAGCTGTTACCACTGTGCTTTCTTGCTTGCTTTCTTTTTTAAGATTTATTTATTTATGCTTACAGAACTGGGGTACAGGCCAGAGGTGTGAGGAGTGAGAGGATTCACCAGAGACAGAGTGGGGAGCAGAACAGGCAGTTCTACTGAAATACACTGCTGAGGGGAGCAGCGGGCAGGTCAGGAGAAGTCTGCCACACCATGTGGGTCAGCTCCCTGGCTGGGGATCGAACTTGGGCTGCAGCGGCTGCGGAGAGCTTCCTAGTGCGGACTTTAACCCATTGCGCCACCAGGGAGAGCCCATGCCTTCTTTTTCCACATTAGAGAAATTGAGTCATTTCTATATGTTCTTTAACTTGAACTGAGGCAGCAGACTCAGAGTTAAGGGCAACTACAGAGAGCCTACTACATCTCGTATGCAGACTCTCCTCTGGCAGGTGTGTGGTAATGGGAAGAGGGCAGAGGAAAAACTTTGTAACACGAATACGTCTCTAAAACAGTACTATCAATCATCCCTAGCAGTGTACACAGCAGAGAGTGTTCTACTACTACTACCTAAAATAACAGTCCAGTAGTCAAGTCCCTAACTACGAGAGAAACTCAGCTACTCGCGTTCATTTGTTAGTCACACCTCACTGTGGTTCCTTTGCTGTTACTTCATGGAAGGAATGGAAGTAGGTTCTGAGATTCCAGTGATGTGCCAAGTCCTAGATCTTGTCATGAAAGGCTTCGGGTTTGGGAGGAACACCAAGACAGGGTTGGAACAACCATGCAGAGAGTAGGGGTTCAGAACATGGGAGCTTGTTTTTAGTTGGGGAGATAGAAGACAGCAAGGACGTTCATGGGGAAGATCACACCTGAGACCATTCCAGATGTGAGGATATATTTGGCTGGAGATGGGGCAGGGAGCCCTGAAGGGGAAGGGAAGGCGGAGGTGTGGGGGGGTAAGGGCAGAGCAGGGGGCCCGGACTCATCACCCCTGTGAACAGGATATGGGCGCTCCTGATGCCAGTTCTTCATTTTCCCTTAACTAGTGAGGTCATTGCTTCCCTGTAAAATGGGGTCCAGTACCCTTTTTTTGAAAAAAAGATTTATTTATGCATATGAGAACTGGGGTACAGGCCAGAAGTACAGGGGTGAGAGAATTCAGAGTCAGAGTGGGGGGCAGAACAGGCCGACTGAGGAAGTACACTGCTGAGGGGAGCAGAGGGCGGGTCAGGAGAGGCCTCTTGCGCCATGTGGGTCACTCCCTGGGGAGCAGGGATTGAACTGGTGCTGCAGTGGCTGCTGGTAGCTTCATAGTGCTGCAGCTGAACCCCTTGTGCCACCAGGGAGGCCCTAGATGATGCCGTTTTTCTAGTATCTTTCATGTCTGTCGTGTGAGGGAAATTTTTGTTTTTTGTATATAAGCAAATACGAGTCAACTTTTTCAGGTTCTGCTATACTTTTTGTTCTTAAAAGAGAGTTTATATATCGATCCCTAAATTCTCTGAAGTTTTTTAATCTGAATTCTGTTGTCATAACACACTTTTGGATATTACCATTTCTGACTCTATTTTCAAGGTTCATTTATTCTTACAGAACTGGGGTACAGTGTTTTGAGAGGACTCGGCAGAGTCAGAGTGGGGGGCAGAACAGGCAGAGTGACGAAGTACACTGCTGAGGGGAGCAACAGGCGGGTCAGGAGAGGTCTGCCGCACCAGGGAGGTCACCTCCAGGGCGGGGATCGAACTCGCACTGAAGTGGCTGTAGCCAGCTTGCAGTGCTGCACCCTAACCCGCTGCCCCACCAGGGCGGGCCCCTGACTCTGTTTTATCCTACTGCTCCAGTTCCTTCACCCTCTGTCAGCAGCCTCAATGATGCTGCCTTTATAGAATGTTTTTTAAATGTCTGGTAGGCTACATACCTTCTAATTGGCTTTTTTTTTTTTCCAAAAAGTCTTTTATTTTTTCAAAGCTGAATTTATTTTTTGCGAAGCATTCTTATCCCTGACATCCATCTGCCCATGTGAGTCTCAAGATCACTTACCCATTTTCAGTTACTGCGTCCTAAAAACTAAATGCCTGCTCAGCATTTCTGCAGTAACCTGTGTCCCCACAACTGACAGTGATTTCAGTACTGCTTTAATGACGGCATTTCAATTAAAAAAAAAATTTGAAATAACTTTAAAAAATAAAATGGACCTTGCTTTTAAAGTTTTAATCAATGAAATAAATATGAAATTGCAAAATTAAAAACAATGATTGTAAGAGTAGAAACAGCCTTCATAGATTCTTCCTTTTCCTGACCCTCCCTTGAAGTTTGCTGCCCTTTATCTATGGGAGGGTAAAAAAAAATCACTATTGGCTGAAAACAAATAGTGACATTATTGTATCAGCCTCACGTGGCTTCTGTGGGTGATGGACTGGGGGGCGGAACCTGCTGGGCCTTTCTGTCCCAGGAACGCTCATGGGGTCACCTCAGTTGTCCTCAGGGACTGACAGAACAGGACAGGACCAGGAGGCCTGACTCACACAGCAGCTTGGCAGCGGGCCTCAGTCTCCTCCCATGGGGGTCTCCTCACAGGGCTACGGGAGCATCCTCAGGGTCACTGACTTCATACCCTGGGTGTGGTTGCTAGACCTGCCCCCTCAGGAACCCGGCTGTGACCCCGCCCCGGCCAGGAGGGACCCCATCCGATCTCCTGTCCTCCTCCCAGTCTGAGCAGGCTACTTCTGAGCGGGGTCTCTCATGGACAGAGGCTGATCCTGCGTTGCACCCGAATACCTGGAAAGTGGGTGTCAG